ATATATATATATATATATATATATATATATATATATATATATATATATATTTATATATATATATATGACCAAATAATAATTTTCTAATAAAAATTGTATAAAAATAATATCACAAGAAAGATTTTTCATATAAATTAACAATCAAATATATTTAAAAAACGGTTAAGTAAAAAACCGTTAAATCAAATGAAAATATAACTTGTATAACTTGTGTATCGAGATTTTCCTATGTATGAGAGTGTTTACATCCCGTCATTTCATTTTACCCGCCAATTGTACCGGTACGCGTGTCTATGGTTACCGTTCGGATTACGCAATGAACTCTATATATGCTGGAGTGAACCGTTAGCCTACGGTCTACATAGGGTGCAATATCTCTAGACCTTTGACTATATAAGTATGGACTGCCAGTTGGCATTCTCACGTTGTAATCAACATGAAGAGCGTCTCCAAGGGCTAAGTGACTAATCCCAGTATTTCGATGACATATTGTGAACTTACATATAGTAGCAAACCTATACCTTTACCAATTCAATGCTTGATATTCGTTAATTTTTATATACATGTCAAAGAATTGGACATATTAGAGAACCACAAATATATATTAATTAAATTAATACTAACATTTTATTTTTAAGTAAAATTATTTTATGAAAGTAAATGCATTACAATGTCTAAACAAACAGATTTTTTTAGACACAAGTTAACGAAAGTCGTAATTTTTAGCGAACAATAATATTATATAATTATAATTACACAAATATTGCATAATTATATTCAATAATACATATATGTATTATTGAATTTATTAATTATACAATATTTATGTATATTTAATAATACATATATATATATATATATATTTATTTATAGAACATTATATATATATATTTATAAGACCGGTGCGCCGGTCTTCTATTGGTCCGCGTCACGACAGTTGGTACGTGACTCGCGCCCTCTCGCGTTGCATCGTTGTTCCGCAACGCGCTGAAGCGCACTCATTCGCAGGGGGTAATAACTCCCGTCTGGTAAGTGGCACTACCTACACCTATCGCCCTCTGAGATAGTCTCCGGAAGTGGCCGAATTAAACAGGTGACGTCACGCGGAGTGGGGATGCGCGCCAATGGAAGTATAAATGGCACGCACAGACAGACGTTATAGAGAGCAATAGCAAGCAACTTATGCATGTATGGCACGTATACAGTTGTGTGCATGCATATATGCACATATATAAATGTATATCTTTTACTATTTTCATAAGATTATGAGAATTAAAAAATGAAAGAATCAAATAATATGAAGTATCCGGTAACTCTCGCGATGTTAATAAAGATATGATATTTTATATTAATATAAGGTTAATATTATATATATACACTTATAATGTAGTATTGTTAGTATACTATATATATGGCATGCATGTGTGCGTGTGAATGTGTGTGATGTATATGCGTACGGTGTGCGTGCGTGTGATATGTCTGTATATGTATGTATGTGTGTGTGTGTGTGGTGCGCGCGCGCGCGCGTGATGAGTGTATGTGTGGATGTATGTGTTATATGTTATTGTATAGGTATTGTAGGCTAGTTGCTACTTCTACGATTTAGCTAATTGTTTTAGTACTATTACTACACTATTACTACTCTACAATGATTAGTAATAAGATAATATATATATATATATTTATAGCTTTATATTAGTGCTCGCTGTTGCTCGCTGTTGCTCGCAGTTGCTCGCTATTGCTCGCTAAAACGTTTCAAGAACGTCTGCCTATGCGCGCCAGTTCATATTCATTGGCGCGTATCCCCACTCCGTATGACGTCACCCGTTTAGTTCGCCCACATCCGGAAACAATTTCAGAGAACGCCACTAAAAACGGGATCCAATTTTTACAAGAGCGAGTTTGTATCCCCTGCTCATTGGCGTTTTGAAAGACGCGGTGGTCGGTTTACTGTGGTGTACAATCGAAGACACGAAGTGCTCATTTCCCACTCCAACGACGCACTTCCACCGGAAGTGGCATCCATCGTCTTCATCGCGGTGTCAGTGACAGCTGATAGTCTGGATTATTGTCTCTTTCTCGGCTTCCTTTCCAGCGCGGAAGACGTACCAGCAGATAGCAGCATTCGCTATCGATCCGCCTCAAGGTTAGTGAATAACAGCCTCGCGCGGAACACTGGTGATTAAACACCGCTTCTTCTCTCGAGACGCGTCACGAGAGCGTTCTCCGCGTAAGATCATTCGGGTATATATATATCGTGATACACTTATTGATACACTTATTGTTGTCTTTATTTCACTATATGTGTTAAGTTTATACATACATATTTTATTTACGCAAGTGGTTCTGCACTTTATCAAACGTGATAAAACAGCGCGACGTATGTCATATTCCATCTCTCTCTTCCTTCCTGTTTTACCATCGAAATCTGACTTCATATTTCGATTTTTTGACACTTATCCCTCGGGGGCACGCGTGATATTAATTACATTGGGTGCTTTCCAATTGTTTAACACATCTTGACACATATGTATATAAAAATGCACAAAGTGTAACGTTGTGCACGATTCAATTAGAATAAAGTGTGTACGTATGTCGGGTAGTGTTAGGATTATTTTTCAACTCTATGCCTATGCCTTGGTATTTTGTTGTCCGTACTTTTTCTATCTTCGATAAATAAGATATTATACACTTTACATCGCAAATACTAACCTCTTCTTAAGCCGTAATGCTTATTAATTTCAATTATCACTAGAAAACACTAGTTTACACAGACGACTAGTAGTACTCGAACTCGAGCACGGATGTGCAGTGTTGTGTCGACGATTACAACAATTGAAATACAATTTGTGTCGTCGTGTGCATGAAAGTGTCTAGAGCTTTGACTATATAAGTATGGACTGCCAGTTACTCCCACTTTTCCTATTCTCACAGGGTGCTTTCCAATTGCAATATCCCTAGACACTTTCATGCACATGGCGACACAAGTTGCATTCCAATTGTAATCGTCGACACAACACTACACATCCGTACTCAGCTCGAGGGCTACTAGTCGGCTGTGTAAACTAATGTTTTCTGGTGACAATTAAAATTAATAAGCGTAGCAGCTTGAAAAGTCTGGCATTTGCGACGTGAAGTGGATAATATCTTTTTTATTATTTAGATTTTATTATTTATTATTAAAAATTACCAAAATATAAGCACAGTTGTGTACACATTAGTATACACTTTATTCTAAACGATTTGTTCCAAACAGCATTATACTTTGTGCACGTATGTGTCAAGATGTGTTAAGCAATTGGAAAGCACCCATAGGTTAGTGGAAAGGCTGTCTCACTTTTTACTTAACCAATCAGCGAACATCAGACAAAGATAGCTTTTCCACCAAACACCTCTCAATGGCTGCATTCAGTAGACTCAACAGTTGCACAACAGTTGAATAATTTGTCAATGTAATTGGTCTAGATTTAGGGATCTAATAGCAAGAACCAATAATCGTTGATTGCTCACTGAGCGCTTTTTCTACTGAATGCGCCCAATGGCACACACTAGCTGTCTCACTTTATACTTAACCAATCGCGAAACTTAGAGAAAGATAGCCTCTCCACCAAACGCCATGATGGCTCACTTCAGTATGCATAGAGTTGACTGGGACGGCAGCGGCGTCTTCCGTAAAACTCCGCTTATCATTCAACCGGGTTGCGCTGTGCCGCAAAGGAATATCCCTATCATCCTCGCCAGCAGTGACTGTCACTTGGTCTCGTCGGAGAGGAGGTCTGCTGGTGTGCGAGAGGCTCGCGAGGATTGTCAACGTGCCGCGACGGACTCGTCGGACGAGAAGCGGATCCCATCATTGGCGGTGAGTGATAGGTTATTCCTTCCCACCCTTGCAGTTCTCATACCTTGAAACGTCACGGCAATAGCAATGCAGCGCACGTTACGTGCAGCCGCGAAGTCGTATTGATTTTCCGCCGACTTTACGACGATGTCGTGTCGTGCCGTGCGCGACTCCCGATTGCGGGTGGCTCGTAAATTTAGCTGCGAATTCGTGGAATCGCGGGCCGCAGTGTAATAACGAGCGGATACTGATGGCGCTCTCGAGACACTTATCTCGACCGGGGAGATCTCATTTCGCTTTACTCCGGTTCATACGAGTGAACTGAACGCAGCTGGTTCATTTGGACTTCGCGGATATACAAGGAGGCGTGTGGGTAAGTTTACGAGGTTAAATCCGTTGTAACGAAGCAGAGCTGCGCATGCGTATATGACCGATAAACGCTGCATAATATTCGAAGAATGTAATATTTCAAGATTACGTGTGAATAAGGAGTGTTGAGCAATTCACTGACAGCGAAAATTATTCTCGCTTCACAAGTCAGAATCGTCGAATTAAGCGAGTATTGCACGGTAATCGTATCAGAATTCAAGTTTCGAATTCTAATAGTAAGATGCAGTAATTGGTTTTTAACTTTAAGACGGCTCGCTGCCACATACACAGTCAAATTTACATTGACGTGACCTCTCGTCTTTGCACTTGACACTTGCGTCGATAATCGATACAAAGCGTCTACGGAAATTCACTTAGCACTTCCACCGTGCCATCTACGTTTTTAGCTTCCTAAACGATTTAAGTCGCGGCGTAATTTCGCGTTCGAAATGACGTTTGGCTCGCGCGCTGCGATTTCGCATCGGCGCGCCGGTCTCCTATTGGTCCGCGTCATCGACAGTGGGCACGTGACTCGCGCCCTCTCGCGTCGCACCGTTGTTCCGCAACGCGCTGAAGCGCGCTCATTCGCGCTCTGAAAGACGCGGTGGTCGGTTTACTGTGGTGCATGATCGAAGGCACGAAGAGCTCATTTCCCACTCTAACGACGCGCTTCCACCGGCAGTGGCACGCAGGATATCATCATCTTTATCACGGTGTTAGTGACAGCTGATAGTCTCGATTACTGTCTCTCTCTCTTTTTCGGCCTCCTCTCCAGCGCGGAAGACGTGCCAGCAGATAGCAGCATTCGCTATCGATCCGCCTCAAGGTTAGTGAATAACAACCTCGCGCGGAACACCGGCGATTAAACACCGCTTCTTCTCTCGAGATGCGTCACGAGAGCGTTCTCCGCGTGAGTAAGATCATTCGGGTATATATAGATTGTGATACACACGCAACACATATACATATACACACTTTCTATGCGCCCGATTGTCTCTGGGTCAGACATTTCGTGCCTAATTTCGAAAGGTGAAGGAGAAGGTAGAGAGAGAGAGAGAGAGAGAAGGATGAGGAGTGAATGCGAGACAACTGGACACAGAAAAAAAATTGATCATGTTCTCAGACATGATTGCTTCGATCAGAGCGTAAGCAATATAGAGACGAGAGTATGAATTTTCGATTCGCCGAGCACGAAGATTTTGCTCGGCCTCGAATTTTGTTCGAGATCCATTTGAGAATCGATATTTTGATTTAAATCTCGGTTACTTGCACTCTCGTGGAGCGTTTTGCGCGAATCTTTCATCGAAGGTTCACACATGTTCATAATTAAATGTCCGCGACGAGTTTTCCTGCCCGGCGGGATCGATTTCAAATTCGTCATAGAATTTGTCGGCGCGAAATAATTCAAAGATATTGAGATGTCATACCGCACATGTGTGCGGCAGACACGCCGTTCGATTTTCCGATTGAAATTTCCGATCGCGCCGTACGCGTTTGTAATTCGTCGAGTAATTGTAAATACACTTTCGGATAATTAATATCTTGAAATAACTTTCGCTGTGTTATTCCACGGTTTCGAGCGCTTTTCGTCCGTACACTCGATAATTTATGACTTTGTGATTTCATCTCGCCTCAATCTTCCATATCACCGTCAACGTTTGTGTTCTCACGCGCGAAATCCCTTTTTCATTTTTAGCGAGCAGTTTCTCCAGAGATCGAATCTCGTCTCTCGCTCCTTTCTCAAAAGTCACTCCGGAGTTTCGCGGCATTTTTGTCGCGTTCTTTCACGGACGAACTTGTCTCCCCACGTAATAATCGTCGGGTTGTGTGCGTTACTACGAAGTTTGGACACGTAATAATAATATAACAGCGTGCTTTAAGTTCGATCACGTTTGACATTTGTCGACATGTACTGCCGACCGGATCTCTGGGATTCTAGAATGCACTTTCGCGATGACAGTTACGTGGGAAGATCGAGCGCTGCTTGAAACCGTGAGGTCGAATGTGCATATGTATAATTTGAACCGATATCTAATTTCACAAGTTCGCGAGATTTATTCATCTCTCTTTCAGTTGTGCGCTCATCTCGTTATTGAATGTGTGTATGAGAGAACCGTGACTTTTTGCGATTCTGCCGCCTTCTTTAAGTAAGAACACCTGGAAACAAACTGAGATAAAAGGGACAATTAAGATAAAGATAATTTGCAGGCGTAATTTTATGCGTAGGGTAGTTTAATCAGACGATTATTACGCACAAGACACTCGGCCGCGGACCGTGTTTACCATTTCCGGAAGATCTCATTAGAGATTGGAGATATAACGAGACTGAGTCTTTTCCTAGAGCCAAATTAATTCCCCTGTCTCGCAAACTTATGAAGTTTCCGTTTATAAAACGACGTGTACTTTTTGCTCGTTCACTTCCGCTAATTAAGCCACATTCCACATGAAATGCGTGAGACGAAGTTGAAAACACAAGAAGGAGATATTGCTTATATCTCGGAAAAAAATTGTATACATTCGCACGGTAGATCTGATTGTTGTATTGTATCGTATCTAAGAAGCGATTGTAGTTAATTTTTTCTATTTTTTTTTTCCTTTATACTTGCGCGTTCTTAACCGTGGGTGACGCGAATGCGAGTGATTCACGTGCATGAATGGGTAAAAATATTGATTTTCCGATCCATCCCCTTTGTATTTATAGCAGTGCTCCCATATCCATCCCAACCATCTAAAGTTGTGCAATACTTTCGACACATTACCACTACGCGCGAACATCGCGGCTCTTTGTGCATGGAGAGAATATACGGCTGAAGAACATAAGTTGCTAGACAAGAGAGAGGAATCGCCGCCTTGAATATATAATTACCGTAAATAATTTGACTCAAGATTCATTTAGCGCTGTAACCTTGATCTTTCATAACAATATCGCGAGACAACACAATCGCTGATCGCAATATTACATGCAAGAAAACTCAGTACTATCAATTAGATCTCAGTTATTTCTCTGAGTAATTATAATCGCAAATATCATTTCTTTTCTCAACGTGGCTGTTACGGTAACACGGACAGATTATTATAGTTTTTTTTGTTTCATATAAATTCCTCTCAGTTTTCTACTGCGTAGGAATAAACGGTAAAGTCCACCTTGCTAAGGAGCATAGTAAATTTCGTCAGAAACGTAGCAAATTTTTTAATAGCGCGTTTTTCAATTCCTAAAATATAAACAGCGCACATATGAAAAAGAGAAATGAAAAAGAGAATCAATATATTCCTCGGTTATATAAAATTCTATAGTAATTTTTACTAAAAAAATTCTCTATCCCTCTTAATTCTTTTTCTACGCGTACGCATTATCAATCCGTTAATATTTTCCGTCAACAGTTCCTTTTGTGGAACACGATCTGATAATGTTCTCCGCAACGTGTGTTCACGAAAGATAGAGCTAGCAGAGAACTAAAAGAGCGCGAATCGCGTGAAACAGCGTGTGATTCGTTATATGCTCAGATTATATCAACGTGACGTACGACAAAATGCACGTTGCGACTCGCAATCTCGTGATCTCGCCTTTAATAATATTGCGCAATAGAGAAAAGTAGGATACACCTTCATTGATGATGCTCTGGGCATGCTCGTTCGCAGATTTCCAGGCGCTTGTCGGCTTCGCATGTAACGAATTAAAGGCTGATTTTTCCAATCTCTTAGTAAACTAACTAAGAGTTAAATTATATGTCTGTCTTTGTCTAATTTAAAGAAAAAACAAAGACAGACATATAATTCACCTGCTAGTTTACCAAGAGATTAGAAAAAATCAGCTCTAAAAGGAATGACAATGCGAGATTCTTACCTAATTAAATATCTTCCTTTTTTTCAGCTTATCGCTTTGCGTGCGAATTGTTAAACGATAACGAACAACGTATTATCGTTACACGACTAAAAATGTCGTTAGATTAATCAAATCTGGTGAAATATTCTCTAAATTTCTTAGAGCATAATTTTCTTCGAAAAATAGAGTGACAGTCGAGTCACTCGATTTCAAGTTATTTTATAGTGTGAATTCGAGAGTGTGAATTCTTCTCGTTGAGTAAATATTTTTACTCGAAATGGAGGAGTAAACTCTAAATTGATGATGCATTCCATCGTCGGAGGAACATTTACTCCAAACGATTGGAACATTCACTCATATGGAATTAGAATCTACTTTAATCTTGAGAAGTATTCATTCTTGTGATTACCAGAGGCAGTATTTTGATTATTGCTTCGAGTAAAAATACTGCCACTTTTCAACTGTTTTGAATGAGATTTTACTTCAAGAAATCTGGAAGGTATGAACGAATCAGAATACCGGTTGAATTCACCAGAACTTTGCTCAAGTTAACAAGATTGCTAGATAATCCGAATTTGCAATTGTTCAACTTGAAACAAGTTCTGATAATCAGAAATTTGTATAACCAAAAACTCGTTAACTTGAATAAAATTCTGGTAACTTTAATCGAAATTCTGGTTCGTTCATAATCTTCCAGATATTTGGTTAATGCAATCAAATCTGTTCCCCGTGTAAGATGAGTCGGACTCGTTGTTTCGAGTACGCTTGGATATTTGTTTACTTGGCACACCTTGCGAAATCACCGTCGAGAAAGAAAACAAACAGTCCAGCCTCGCGACCGCGTCGATAAAGTTCTCGCGCGCCCAGACCACCTAGGTTGGTCATTAACGACGAAATGCTCGCGACGTCCTGATCCCGACCGTCGTCCGTGATCTTGGTGGCGGAATTCGCCACAACGCCGGACCAGACGGTGGCGGCAGCACGCCGGTACCTTTCACCCTGGAAACCTGCCAACTTCCTCGAGGGCAAGGACAGAGTCGGCCGATAGATCACGTCGTGGTCCGTTACACACTACCACTGACTCGCGTGTTAGGGACGGATCGCGTTATTTTCGTCTTTCACTGCCGGCCGTCTCCACCACCATCGTCGTCGTCGGCGCCCCTAAACGAGGTTCGCGTTTTATGAATTAAACGATTCGTCCGTCTGGCTCTGACTCGGTAGAACTCTGAGAGATCGTTGTGTCGCGATGTTCGATTATTTTTCGATACTCTCGCTTGGATCCCATAAAGGTGTACAGATATTTATTAATTATTTATCAGTTATTATTTGTCTCTATTCGATTTCTTTTAAATCCTCATTCACCTTTATTCTCTGCAACATCCGCGTCAGAATGTTGAAAATGGGTACAGTTTTCCCCCATATGATTGTTGGGATCTGACGTGAAAACATAGAGGAAGGAAGTCCATATCGTCTTTGTGTGCTCGATCGCAAAACGGTTCCACGCACTTTTCATTGAATGAAATTGTAACGTTTCAAGTTGTCACAATTAAGAGCCAATGCTGATGTGCATGCGCAGTAATCGGTTATGACAGGAACTGAAGTGATAGTACGATGAAAGCACCAACGTCTGGACATTAGTAACATTGATACTTTATTCCGGACATTCTTCTTGTTTTGATTTTTATACAGTATACAAATACGAATATTTCAACTTTCAACGTAGATATTCTATATTAAAAGTTCAAATATTTGTACTTTAAAAGCGAAAATAAGAATATCCAGAATTAGGTATTAATGTTATTAATATCCAGGCATTGGTGCTTTTACCTTACAAAGTGTGTGACGAGAAATCTGAGAGATGAGAGATTGTTAATTCCTATACACACATATTCTATAAATAGTGCACGTCGTGCAGTGGCTCGCGATTATGACAACTTGAATGCTATTGAACTTGAAATGTTATTCGACAAAAAACGTGCAAATCATTTTGCAACCGTTTTTGCATACAGTTAATCGTAGCGATTAATCGAACTGAAAAGTTCAAACACCGAAATTTGAAAAAATCTGCGAATTTGTTATTATTTCTTCTTATTATGTCCCGCAAAGGACTTGCATCATTCCTCTGTTATGTTTGCGAAGCTGCTGATTTTCACTTCGAGACATTCGTCGGTCGATACGACTGATTCGCGTGTCCGTGTCCGGTTAAAGTCACTTATTTCAACGCTCGGCCTGTTCTTAACTGTCTTACCTGTTTCCGTCCACAGTTATAACTCGCGGTACCGCGCGAAGAAGGGCTCTAATCGTGAACGGAAGCACGTATCGAGTACTGCGAGACAGTGACCGATAGACCGTCTCTCTAAGGCAGCGAGACCTTACGTTTCATTAATTCGCAATAAGACTCGATCAATCGCAATTTTACGAGACACATGTACCTCTCTATGGAAAGAGAAAGAAAGAGATTCGAACGAGGTCGGGAATATATGTGACACTAATTCGTTAATGTCGCGAGTGTTCTCGAGTACAGGATCTTACGAATCGACCAGGGAAATTGCCAAAGAGAATGTCAAAGCAATCGGAACACGATCCTAGTGGAGCCCGCCGTCGATCGCACCCCAACTTCATACCGCACGTAACTATCCCCCAAGTATTCTCCTCTGTACGATTGCATCGCGAATGTTTCAAGTTTCGTCATAGACGCGCTTTTACGCCGGTCTAATGACGTCGACAGTTCTTTGGCGGGAAATGTCGGTCTCCCTCTCTGTTTCTTGACCTGCTCGCAGCAGTAGTCTTGACAGACGACCAGCTGATCGTTTTATCTCTTGATTGCCGGCCACATCGGCATCAAAGGAGCCACCGTGACCAGGAGGGTGGACGACGATGACGACGACGACTACGACGATGACGACGACGTCGGAGACGTCGCGTCGCGTCTGCGCGTCGCGACGTCGTCGGTGGGTCGGTCGGTCGGTGGGTAGGTATTGATTTTCCAGCCGCGATGTGTGAGTGAGTGTGCAGTCGTGCACACGTTGGCCACGCGCATACACACGCGAAACACACACACACACACACACACACACTCACTCCTCGACGGCCGGCACATCGCGGCGCGGCTGCGAATCCGCCCGCGGAATTCCGCAAGATCTCTCTCTGTGGCGTTCAGTGAGTGCTACCCTCCGGCCGCCTTGCGGAAGATTGCTCTGACCGTCCCTCCGATCGACATCTCGATCGAGCCTTCGAGTCGCTCGCGGACGTTCTCATTCGTTTGCATTGTGATAGCTAAGAAGAAGATCTCCGTTTGATCTCGCGCACGGCATCGTCGTCGTCGCCGCTGCCATCTGGTCCTCGTCGTCGTTCGTGTTTTGACGCGATAAGGTGTTGTTACTCGCACTCTGCTCCTCACTACTCCTTCTCCTTCACAAAGACTAAGTATCCGAACGAACGTGATTCCACGAGGACGTTTCCCAGACACATTCTGGGAACAAATGTGATCGTCCAGTGTGTCCACGTAGGGATACTTGTCCCGGCACCTCGCGACAAGTATCGGCTACCCGTTTTCGCCATGAGCCATCCTCGATCTAACCTCGCGCTCGTCGATTTGTGTTGCAGGCTAATCGCGGTTAGATCGCTGGTCCGGGAGAGCGGCACCAGAAAGGAAGGAAGGAAGGAAGGAAGGAAGGAAGGAAGTGGTGTCGCTGCGTCGTCGACCGGTGAGAACTCGAGAGGTCGCGTGGAAGCCGCGAGGAGCCGGACCAAGGGGGAAGACTCTCGTCGAGAGAGAAAGGCTGTTGTCATCCGGTATCTAGTCCCATCATCAGGCACCCGACGCGATGCCTGCGCCAACGTCAGCGTCAGCGGGCCCGGCCGAGGGCGGCCCGCCCCGCACCGAATTGCAGGAGTTACAGCTCAAGGCCGGTCAGACCACGGATGAGGTGAGTCGACGTGTATACAGAGATATATGTATGTATATGTGGACGTGTGTACACGTCTTTACGTGTGTGTGTGTGTGTGTGTGTGTGTGTGTGTGTGTGTGTGTGTG